AGACATTGATGAATCAACAGAGATCACAGACGATCTTAATGGTAATAAAGAGGAACTCCTAAAATCAAGATTACAAAGTTTTGAAAATACTTTAGGTGTTTTCTCTGATAAGGTTCTTCTTATGAGAATATTATAAAACAAAGTAATGAAAAACTTTATCTAGTTAATGATATTTTCATTGGGGATATTGTTCTTAAAAGGAACAGGATAACTGATTCAAAATTCGATGATAAATGGAGCGGGCCATTTTATGTTGTTAAATCAGAAGGAAACAATCATTTCTTATAAAAAGTATAAACAACTCAGTAGAAGAGTGTTAAACTGTCACGCGGGGTGACATAAAGTTCTTATGTAAAGGAACTGAACATGATATTATTTCTGGATATATCAAGTCTCTTGAGAAGAGTGGACTTCTTGAAGATGGGAGGAATGTTATTGGTAGTGTTATTATTAATAATAATAACGATAGCTGTCAATCTGAAACAAAAAGAGTTTCAGATATTTAAATAAAAAAGGAAGAATAAATTATCATGAGAAAACGTTTTATTAATAAATCCAAAAAGGTAAGTAAAGAAACCTCATCAGAGGAGGTTAACAGCCTTGTTTATCTATGTCATGTTTGTTGACACTTGAAAACTTATCTTGTTTTTACACAATCTATTTACTTAATTTCCTTTTATATTACTATGTCTAATACTTAATAACTAACTAATCAATATCAAATTTTCTATATGAAAAGTTTCAGAAATTTTTTAAACTAAATTTGATCTAAAAATTTACCCCTAAGATTATTATAATTAATTCTAACGTTAACAACATTGCAATTACTAACAAGTAAAGATTGTTCAAAATCTTATTTCACCATCTTTATCTCAACTAAAGAAGTGCCTAGGATAAAATCCTGTAATATTTTATCATTTAATATAGTTGAAATTAAAAAAATATTTTAGAACATCCTAATAAAAATTATTAAAAAAAATATATACAAATTAGTTTTAATAAAAGATTTGTTTTTCAAATAAAAATTAAAAATTCTATTTTTTTAATTTTGAGAATTATCTATCAAATAAAAAACATGAAAGATTGGTATATTATGTTCTTGTAGTGTCTCTATAACCAACTAAAAATGGTATTTCTTAGTAATACTATTTATAAAACTATAAAAAGTAAATGGAATAAATAAATCATGGTTCACAAAAGATATTTAAATAAAGACAACTTGTGCTATTTTCAACAAATATAGCTGTTGGAGAAAATATTAAAAACAGAAAACAGTTTAAAGAATTGTTTATTAACTAATCAATTAATTATTCAAAGAGTCATTAGAATCAAGATTATCATAAAATTCAATTATTTTATCTTCAATTTCGTTAAGTATTTTTAAAATTTCATCAGAATTTCTAATCATTGTAGATTGGGATTTTCTATCTTTAATCTTTAAAATTAAGTCTAAAGTTGATATTTTTTTATCTATTAACTTACATCTTTTCTTATTTAAAACAAGTAAACATTCATTTAGTAATTCTAGAACTTCAGAAACTACAAGACTTAAATATTTATTTTTTTTCCACCTTTCCTCATACTTCTTTAAATCAATATTAAACTTGTTTTTTATCTCTTCAAAATCTTTTTCACAATAAAATAGTTCCGTTTCAAATGTTTTCTCACCATATCTATAAATATTATCAACCTTTATATTATAATAATTAATTATTTTAATTAATTCATCAACTATTGTGAAATCATCTTTAGATAATCCTGGATTATTTTTCAAACAATCAGTAAACCATTCAGAGTTTGAATCAGAATTTGACTCTAAAGAATCTTTGTTGCGATCTTCTCTAATTTTATTGTATTTTTTATATTTATTATCATGTTCTAAAAACTTTAATTGTTTAAATACCGCTGCATATGAATTAAAAATTTCAATGTTTATTTCTAATGATCTTTTTCTCTCCTTATCATCACTTAAAGTTTGAACAGTTCCATATTTATATTCCGAAAACATTTTCTCAGCTATTTCTAAGGTGTGTGAATCTATAGATTCTAAAAAATCAATCTCGTCTTTTTTCGATAATTCACTACAAATAAAATTTTTGTCATTATTTACTACTCCAAATAAATTGTTAAAAAAATCAATTATATTTTTTTTATAATTTTCATCATCAAATTTAATCTTATTTAACATAGGAAGACAAACTTTTAAACCTTTTTTCTTAGCAAAAAACTTTTCATTATTCTCTTTTATGTTTTCTAAAACTCTTTTTAAAAAACAAACTTGAAATTTTTTAAATAATGAATTGGATTCTTTTATTAAAGCAGAGACCTCTTCCCTACTTATAGTATCTTCACATCTTACTCTACCAATCACAAAGGTATTGTTGCTTAATAGAAACATCACACTGCTTAAAATACTCATCAGCATACTTCTCATATTGGGGTATCAAAAAAATCAATTTAAATATTTTTCTAAAATATTTTTTTTATAATAATTAATTAAGCTTATTAGGAATTTAAAAAATTAAATTTTTTTATAAAAACATTTTTTAATGAATTTAAACATTTATTTGTAATTGCTGAAACAAAAAGAATGATTATAATAAAGTTTACTAAGTCTTTCTTTTGATCATCAACTGTCTTCTTTACTGTTTATGTAAGGGCTGCTCTCTATATCAAACACATATTTATTGTCATCTTTCTCATTAAAATACTCTTCACTCATCTTGTACTTAATTTCTATTATTAATTAAAATTTATTCATAAAAAATTTTAACTATAAAATCTATCAACTAGAATTTCTAAAATTTACTTTATTATACCAAAAAATTCCACTCATTTTAGTTGATACGACAGTAATGTTGTGTTTTATTTGTTAGAGTGCATAATAATCTCATTATTTTTATTGATAAAGTACAATGATGTTCAATTAATTATTAAAAAAGGTTTACTAATTAATTTATTTAATGTTTTTATCTATCTGATAACTTATTGCTTATATTTAACACAAAAACCTCGCTATACCGATTAATAGATAGATTATTTAGAGATAAAAACTCATTAGAATGATTTAAATTAATTAGAATGATATGTTTTCTAATGAATTTTTATTTCTAAATAATTATTAATTTTATTAATATTTAAATTATAAAAATATTTTTTTGTCGTAACTCGCCATAAGTATATGATGTGTGTTAGAGAATGAAATTTATAGACCCAAGATCTTTAAAAAAGTTATTTAAGTTAAAAAT